ATCTAGTATATTTTATGTTTGTTTAAATTATATTGATTCAATATAAATTCCCTGCATGTGGTAGAGTGTCTGCACTTTGAAACTCTGGCTGAGTTTGGTTTTATGATTCTGTTTTGGTGTTCTCTGCAGCCAGAGGAAGAGGAAGAGGCAGGTTCAGAAACGAGGACGATGAGGATGGAGCAGGAGGACGACCATCTGGACCAAGCACTCTGTTCGACTTCCTTGAGTCCAAGATGGGAGTTTTCTCCATTGATGGTGGGCGACCCGGTCTACATCCCATGTGCTCATTTGAAGCCCACGTTTCCCCTGCAGTATTTCATTACGCGTCTTTCTCTGGTTTATTTTCTCAGAGCCAAAGAACCAACCACCACAGAGGCAGCACGAGAACAAAGGAAATGTCTTTAACTCAAACTATCACACAAAAGACGCGTCTCAGGCCAAGTTCTCACATAATGACCACAGGCAACAAAGAACTGACAGACCACCTCGCTTTCACAAGGACACTGATTTCCCCAAACCTGGCCAGGAGCCAGCCTCTAACTGTACAAGCTCCCTGACGCCTGTTCATACCCAGCAGTGGAAGAGCCAAGAGAAATGGCCCCGAGGCACATCGGACCGAGTGCAAAACGACCGGAGAGAAACGAGRGACGAGCAGATCAATGCCTCTACCTTAATGACTCCTCTCACACATCCAAAAGAACCTCAGCAGCAGGTTGAATTTAGTGGATCTTACCAACAGAGGTCCCGGAATGGAACTATTGGTGGAAATATGTCTGGTCTGTCTCACAGGAGGGGGCCAAAAGATAACGCACCTGCACCTAAACTGAGTAATTCTACAGAAAGTGAAGCAGACGGAAGAGGACCGTACAAACGTACGGACAGAAACGGAGACGCCAGCAACGGCAGGAGAAAGGGGAAGACCGAGCGGCCCAGCTCGGATCCCTTCGATAGACAAAAGGACGGTGGGCCGTCAAACTTTAACCAGAGAGGAGGAAGCTCGGGGACTTCACAAGATGTGGGATTATCGCAGGGCTCTCGGATTACGCCGGGGGACCCTTCTCATTTCCAAAACGGAGAGGTGGAATTTAAAAGGACAGGTCCAATCAAGCCTGCAAACTTCTCCGCTCCGCCATACCGAGAGCAGCAACCCAAGAAGAACAACCCTAACAACCCKGGGTATAAAAAACGGCCAGGGCAAAGCAAAGGTCCGGGCCCTCGAGGACCAGAGAAAGGTCATTTCTGTGAACACGTCTGGAAACCTGGAGACCAGTGCCTGGCTCTGTACTGGGAGGACAACAAGGTGTGTGGGGACGTTCCTGACTAGTCCTATCCATCTAAATTAAAATGCTTTATTTCACATGTTGCTTTAAATCCCTGTTTCTTTTGTTTCTCTTTGGCTGCATCAAGTTCTACCATGCCAGAATAGATGCTGTGCACCCATCTGGCTCTACAGCTGTGGTTGTTTTCAGCGATTATGGAAACTGGGAAGAGGTTCTCCTGCATAACATCAAACCTGTTCCCGCTGATATGATGGTAACCAGAATGAGACGTAGATTCCAATTCATCATTCATTAATTATTAAGATCAGAATGCTGGCTAGTCAGTAATGGGACAGAAAGTTGATCAAATAAAACAGCCTCTAATCAGATCACCATGATTCTAATCAAATGTGCAACAACAGGAGGAAGATGATGGCTACTATGACAGTTCACTAGAGTTCCGSCGCGGTGGTGACGGACAGCCCAGACGAGCCAGACCCACTCAGCAGTATTACCAGCCGCCCAGGGCGCGTGATTGATGGGTCTGTGTTTACACTGGCAGGTAAATAAATGGTACATTGTGTTTTCTGTTGTGATTACACGTCAAATATTGTTGTTGTGTTTATGTTTTATTCATTTCTCATTCCTTTTTGTTAGAAGTGTGTGTTAAAGTGTAATGAGCAGTTAACGGGTTAGGATTTCATTTGTTGAYGTTTTCTTTTGCACACTTGTTGGATTATTGCTTTAATATTAGATGAAAATAAACATATTGGAAATTGTTTTATTTTTCACAATCCCAGGTCTGATAAAGTTGGGGTGTTGTTTAAAATGTAAATAAAAACTGAATGCAATTATCATAAACTTATATTTTACTCAAAATAAGACAATATACTGATTATACTTACAAAAAACTTTTTCCCAATTGATATGATTTGTTTATATATGCATTATGTATATATATATGTGTGTGTGTGTGTGTGTGTATAAATATATGTATATGTATATACTGTGTATGTATGTATGTATGTATATATACTGTATATACATTTTTAGAGTTGTGGTCATAGAGAGCTGAAATACTAATAATGTTTTAACACCATTGACGATGATCTCATACTTTTATAAATGTAATATACTTTTTTCTTGATCCAGCAGTGTGCTTGTCCCTCATCTCTACACTTTCTGCAACAATCCAGAGTGCTTCCTGAGCTTTTAAGCGTCCACATCATCAGGACATTACAGAACTCCTCAAAGGGCTCCAAGGGACATGATGCAAAAAAAAAAAAAAAAACTGACACAAGCTTCTGTTTATTTTTGTCAAGACCATATCTACTGTATATGTTTTGAAGATTTGTTAAATGGGTGCATAAAAATAAACAACTAATTAACTGTATTTAGGAGGTTTGTTGGAATATTTCAGACTTGAGTGATGAAATAAACTAATTGCAGGGCAGAAATGATCGAGGCTTCTTCGTATCATTTTGRGCTGCACAACCTTGTGAATAAACTGCATGCAGGTTTTTGACTGAAACCCAAGGTCTAGTTGGAATAGAGTAATTGTTATACTGTGAGAGCTGTTCTGGTTTGATGCAACATCTCTTAAAAATAGCACAAAAATGCATAAAAACTAATAAATTACAAGCAAATGAAAATTCACATAACTACGTTTCAAAAATCACGAGAGACAATTAGCTGCTCGGGTAAAACTAGAAAGTAGGTTTGATTTTAGTCTATTTTGACGAATCTCAGGGTTTTAAAACCACCTAAACTGTATTTCCTACCTGTCTTTTACTCCTTGCAGATAAGCTTTACGTGTCCAAAGTAAGCAGCCCCGAGTTCATTTGTTGTGTTCTTTGAAGCAAATCCGGAGGGTAAGACAATCTCTTCGCCCCCCCGTAATAGAGATGGTTACACTGCAGAGATATCATTTTGCACATTACAAAAGGCACTATGCCGAGCTCTTCAAGCACTGACTGCACGCACCCTGATGGCTGTTTATGGACGTGTGCTGTGCGAGAGAGCAGCTTTTACACATGAAGAAATAATCTCCACCTGGGCTCCAGTTTCTTTCTTAGCAGCAGCAGGAGACAAACGAACAATGCAGCAGGGTTCAGCGGAGAGGTCACAGTGTTATTCTGTATCAGGAGTCCAAAGGGTTTGCTTTATTTTCCGAGTCAGGCGCCAAGCGGGCATGCATGAATAATTAAAGGCTGGTAATATGGAAACCTATCCGCGAGGGAGGAATTGAAAGTGTTTGAGGAGACTAACCTCACGCCGGCCAGAAAATAGTAAGGGATTTGCTTTCAGCTGGATAAATGGGGATATTCTGGTGGAGGAGTCGACCACCTTCACACATAATTTACTTCTTACTYTYTTTCTTTCTTTTTTTTTCAACATGGCATCAAGAAATATACAGTTTCTGGAAGTCATTTTGGATTTCAGAGACATTTGTCTTTTAGAACTGAAGGCCTATCAGTCCTTGAAGGAATGCATATCACCTGCCACCTTTCATGCCAGAGAATGAAAATCAGTTTATGCTGAGTAATGCAGCTTTAGCAGTATTTGGATATATTGTGGGATTTCACACGATCTAGTAGCAGTTGGAGTATCTGCTGTGAATGTCAGCTACTACCACACCACTCAAAATTGTTTATGCAAAGTTTGACTAGCTTTAGCGACATTTAGCAACGTTAAAAGTTAATCAGTTTAGGGATTTGGATAAAATTTTCAAACTTACTTTAGAGCTGTTTTTCCTTTTTGTACTCGTAAGCTCTATGTACAGATTCCAATACTTTTTTTWAAAAATCGGACCCCCCATTAGAGGTCGTTTAAAGGCTGAAAAGTAGGAAGCAAGTGCTCCATTGACTTCCATTATACCATGAAAAAAGTGCGTACCTCTGTAGACATAGTACAGTTTTTCAAACCAAAGCAGAAAAACTAGATAAAACCTTAAGATAGATTTTGAAATGCTAAGGGGGGGCTAAGCATGAAAACAAAAAATTCACAAAAACCTGACCCACGCACTGCCGGGATCGGGCAGCGTATCAAAGTGTCTAATCAATTGTTCAGATTATTACTTTCTGAGAGTTTCACTGACACTTTTGCAGTAGTTCATGAGATACTTTACTAACAGATAACCAACATAGACTGCTACAGTTGATGTGAAAGATTTTTTCCATTCAAAATTTATGTTGGGGATGATGCTCAGTGACTACCAAACTGAATTTGAGCTGGCTGAGTTGTATGAAACAGGCTGAGTCCTAAAGCAGTTGCAAACGTCAACCCAATCTGTTGAGCCAAACATGAACTGTTTTGCTAACAGACACACACGGCATTAAAAAAAATTTTGTTAAAAGCTTTTGTTGTGCTATTGTCAAGATAAACTCCCCAAACAAAAGGTGAGGGTGGAAACTCCTCCGCTTTGAGAACGAGGCCGTATTTAGCAGAGAAAAGGTGTGAACTTAGAGTGAAAGCTGACTGGAAAGACTGGATCAAATCTTGTTTTTCATCTCGGTGGAAATGATCACACAGTGAGTGCGGTCGTGGCACTCTGATCGCAGTTTTCACTCAGTATTTTCCTCCTGTCTGTGGCAGACACACAGGATTCCACAGGATCTCAAGTCTTAGATTATGATTGGATTTTACACGGCTGGATTTACAGAGGATGTCAAAAGTATCGGAGCTGTTTTTATTGTTGCAGCTTGACGAGTTTTAGCACAGTTAGCTTCAGTTGGATTGCATTTAAATTGAATTATGAGTTGGTTGTAAGAGTTCTCAGTGGTTAGCACAGTTTTATTGCAGCAAAATGTCTTCAGTTTTTTTGACAAACGTGTTTCTCTAATAATAATAAAGCTGTTTCTCTAACGCAGAGCTATTCAGCTGGTGGCCACATCCAGTTTGCGAGTGACCAAAGTTCAGCCCGCCAATTTCATTCATCTTTAAACCCAAACCCCTGGTTTTCTACTTTAATTCCTTTAAGTTCTTTTGGTATCTAAAGAAATGTCAGAATCTTGACTTGAAGCTGGTAAAAACCCTTTTTGTGCACAATCAAGACAGTTAAATCTACAAGCAGTTGAAGATAAAACTATCAAAGTGAAAATAAAATAGGTTTAAAATTTGTCAGGTCAGAGATGTCAAAATATTATTTGTGTTAAATAGGAGGCATAATGTTTTCTTTTTGTTTTTGATATTATCACTACATTTATAGGGTTTTGTATGTTGTATTCATGATTAAATTCAGCAAAATAAACTATTTGAAAGGTAACAGATATTTGTAATACTTGGTTTATTTACATAATAAATTTAATTGCTGGATGTTTGGCCCCTGAGCTGTTGGCCTGCAGTAACTGTGGCCCCCCGGGGCAGTTTAGTTGAATAACCCTGCTCTAATGGTCTTGAAGGAACCACAATCAGTYGGATTTCCTGTTAAAATATTTTACAGTACAGATGCTAAAACCCCAAATTTGGACAAATTTTCCCAGATTCTTAAACTCTTTTCACAATAAGAACTGTAGACAAAAAAAATTAAGTAAATACTTGAACCCCTGCTCATCTACTTCTGAGACACTCTCTGCTAAAATGCTGTTTTTATATAGTTATTTTTTTATTGAACTGTTGCTAATTAACATAATTAGTTTTAAAATTCTCCTCCAGTTGTTTCTTATTCAAACCATACCACTCATGACTTTAGAATGACACTTCCTCATAAAAAGTACGTTTTCTCACTACTATATTTTGTGAATGTAATATAGGTTTATTGCATTCTGTTTGTATTTACATTTTACACATCTGAACTTTTCCATTAGGGTTATATAATGAAAACATTTCCTAATTAAAACACACCTTCATTAGACCAGAAGCTTTGTTTCCCTTTGTAACCTGATGACTCTGCAACAGGAGGACTGGTTTTCACTCGTGGTGAGGGAACAAGCGTGTTTCCCACATTAACATCCTCTCTGCTCGCCTCAGCCCCTCCGTCTCCCACCTGCCCGCCTCTCCTCATATTCCCATTCACAGCTGTCGGCCATTATCTTTGAGCGTACCTGACCCCCCCCCCCCCCCCCCCCCCCCCCCCCCGTCTCTCCACTGCGCTACCTTTGTGGACGGCGACATACGAACCCAGTCATCCCACGTAAATGCACTCTTTCTTACATAATTCCAACATTGGCCTTGACAAACACATCCTTTCTTCCCTTGTTGCTGCGGGAAAAGGAGGTCGCATGAAAGTCGCTGAAGCTCATTTCTCTGTGAAACTAGAAAACGGCATGAATGGCATTTAGAGTGTTGTCTGGGTGGGTCAGGTCCACACAGAAAGCTGCCCTGAACGCCACCCAAGCAGCGTCAGAGTCCTCCCCACTTTCTTTTCCATTTTGTTTATTCTAACAGGTCTCATAGCAAACAACATGGCAGCTTGATCGAATAATAAAACCCAAAGAAACTGTCTCCAAAACAGAGCGGGTTAATCATCCTGTCTGTTTGCTTCAGTGACAGTGTTAGTTAGGTGTGGGTCTGTTGTTTGCATATGAATCATTGAACTTAAAGCCAAACCACCGTGTGGTAAATGGCTGCACCAACAACATGCAAAACAAGYGCCTTCATGCTTTGTTCAAAGCTCTACTCAAACACGATTTGTGTCTGAAAGCTCAGATCTCAGTCGTACATGTGAAGAGGTGACAGATGGAGTGTCGGGGAATACCACCGACCTTTGCATGCGAGCAGCCACACGGCTGCAGAGCACGCAACAACGCGTCCGATTTGAATTCGGTTCAAAGCACGATTGAGTTTGAGTTTACACATATTGTTAAAAAAATCAGCATAAAGTGTTAATTTTTATTGACCTTTTAAGATGATAAGCTTTGGTTGCAGATAATGATTTTGTTTTAGTTTGTGTTAACAAAATAYAAACTGGACGGATTTGAATGAAACAGAATATTCAGTTGTACAGCAACAACTAAAGAACTGGAGTCCTAATTCAAGATGGCTGCCTCAGCCAACTGAACCCCATTGGTGGGCAAAAACAGTTTCAGACGCTACCAAGGGCTTTTTCCTTTTGAAAACCAGGGAGTTAGACGACTTCCTTCAGTTCTTGCCTTTAGCTTGACAAAAAATGAAAAAAAAAATTCAAAAAGCTTTTAAGGAATTTCAGGGGCGACTAAGGGTTTAAAAACTAAAATTTATCATAACTTCATCAATTTTACAGATACTGAGCTTATATTTGGTTGGGTAGAGGCTAAGAATTTTCTCTGGAAACAAAGTTTTTATTAGTATTTATTGGGGCAAATAAACAAACAAATAAAACATTGTTTCAGCACATATCCCATCCAACAAAATATGCAAGATGTTCACTATTTAGAATCGACTTAGTACTTTTGTTTGCAAAATTTGATTAAAACATARCATTATTAATAAGTAAGTAAAATTTTATATTTAGAAAGAGTTGATAGGCAGAAGGTGCTGCCTA